TGCATGCGGCTGCCCCCCATTTTCTGTGGCCGTTTGCGGTCAGGTACGCAGCGCATCAGATCAACCTCCACCCCAGGGTCTCCAGGCCGGAGACCTACCCAGCGCTGCTGTGGACGGGGAAGGTTGGCGATGCGTCGGCGTTCCGGGTCTGGGGATCTCGGGCGTTTGTCCGCGACTTGTCTGCGGACAAGCTGTCCCCTCGCGCTGCTCCCTGCGTCTTCCTGGGGTTCCCCCCCGACGCCCCTGGGTGGCAGTTCTACCACCCCACCTCTCGACGTGTTCTGTCCTCCCAGGACGTCACGTTCGACGAGTCGGTACCCTACTACCGCCTCTTCCCCTACCGCACTCCGTCCCTCCCCCCGCCCCCGCTCTTCTTGGTACCAGGTCCCCCCCCGGTAGACCCCCTCCCCCCTCAGGGTCCTGCCCCTTATGGTGTGTCCCAGGTAGACGCGGTCGAGCCTGTCGAGGTCACTGGTGACGCTGGTGCTGCTGCGGGAGCTGAGCCTGGGGGTGCGGAGTCTGGAGGTGCTGAGCCTGGGGGTGCTGAGCCTGGGGGTGCTGAGCTTGGGGGTGCTGAGCCTGGAGGTGCTGAGCCTGGGGGTGCTGAGCCTGGGGGTACTGAGCCTGGGGGTGCTGAGCCTGGGGGTGCTGAGACTGGGGGTGCTACGCCTGGAGGTGCTTCGTCTCGCCGAGAGCCACTCTCCCCTCAGGAGCTACGTGAGTGGTTTGCCAGGCGCTGGAGGCGTGCTGCTGGTGCTGGAGGTTCTTCGGCTGCAGAGGGTAATGCTGCCGAGCGTCCTGGCGGCGCTCGTACTGTGGGTGCTGGAGCTGCTGGGTCTGAGGGTTCTCCTGGAGCTGGTGCTGCTGAGGGTGTTGCCGCTGAGACTGCCGTTGGAGGTCCGACTGGTGGTGCTCCTGGTGGTGCTGCTGGAGGTTCTGGAGCTACTGGAGGTGCTGCTGGAGCGGGTACTCCTGCTGGGGGTACTAGTGCTGTCCATGCTGTTTCTGGCGTCGCCGCGCGGCCCCGGCCGTACTTCGTTCCGCTCCTGCAGCAGGTTCTTGGTCTTACACCTTCTCCTGGTCCTCCTCCACCTCCCTTAGAGGGTCCACAGCCTGTCTCGTCACAGTCACAGCTACAGCCTGCCTCACCTTTGCCTGCTCCTTCTCCCTACGCTGGTCCGACAGGAGGTCTTACTGAGCGTCGTGAGCCTGCGTCTCGTCCTGCGTCGCCTGTTCGTACTGCGCGCACTAGTGGTCGTGGTTCGCGTCAGCGTCCTCCTCCTGTCCCTGGCACGCACCGGATGTCTCTGCGTCCGTCTACTGCTCCTCTGCGTGCCCCTTTGCCTTCTCCTCCTTCTTCCTCTCTTCCTGCTCTTGCCGACCCGGAGTCGGACTCTCTTCGTGCTGCCAGTCCTACTGTCACGCGTCTTCTTGCTACTGCTGTCACTGACCCTTCTTTCGAGTCTTCTGCTGCGTCTGCCCTTGTCACTGAGCTCGTCAACTTTGCTGCGCGCTGTCGTCTAGACTACGCTACTAGTCTTGTCGCTGAGTCTGAGTCTGCCTGTCCTCCGTCCGTCGGGGGTGAGTGTGCCCTTGGCACGGACGTCCTTGAGGACAGGCAGGAGGAGTTCCAGTGTCTGGCCGCCGCTTCACCTCATCTCGCGTCTGTACTGCTAGCCCCTGAGGGAGACCCGGATGCACTAGACATCCCGACTCCGCGCTCTTACGCGGAGGCGATAGAGGGTCCCTACTCCTCTCAGTGGCAGGCAGCTATGGATGCAGAGATGGCTTCCTGGAAGTCCACAGGCACCTACGTCGACGCTGTTCCCCCTCCTGGGGCGAACATCGTCAGTGGCATGTGGATTTTCAGGGTGAAGCGGCCGCCGGGTTCTCCGCCTGTCTTCAAGGCGCGTTACGTGGCTCGTGGCTTCAGTCAGCGGCAGGGGGTTGACTACTTTCAGACCTTCTCCCCCACCCCGAAGATGACCACTCTTCGGGTACTGCTGCACGTTGCTGCTCACCGTGACTACGAGCTGCACTCTCTTGACTTCAGCACAGCATTCTTGCAGGGCAGCCTGCACGAGGAGATCTGGCTGCGTCGCCCACCTGGCTTCACTGGGTCTTTCCCTCCTGGTACCCAGTGGAGTCTCTGGCGTCCAGTCTACGGTCTCTGCCAGGCGCCACGTGAGTGGCACGACACACTGAGGACTACGCTTGCGGCACTTGGGTTTGCTCCTTCTACTGCCGACCCGTCGCTGTTTCTGCGCACCGACACCTCTCTGCCGCCGTTCTACATCCTCGTGTACGTCGACGACTTGGTCTTTGCCACAGCGGACACTGCTGGACTCGCTTACGTGAAGTCCGAGCTGCAGAAGAGACACACGTGCACTGACCTGGGTGAACTGCGCAGCTACCTTGGCTTGCAGATCACCCGGGACAGAGCACGTCGCACCATTACTCTGACTCAGTCACACATGGTGCAGCAGGTCCTTCAGCGCTTCGGCTTCACGTACTCCTCGCCTCAGGCCACTCCTCTGCCTACTCGCCACTCGCTCTCAGCTCTGCCTTCGGATGAGTCCGTAGAGTCGAGTGGCCCGTATGCAGAGCTTGTTGGCTGCCTCATGTACCTGATGACCTGCACACGACCTGACCTTGCATACCCTCTCAGCATTCTCGCACGCTATGTTGCTCCTGGGAGACACGGACCAGAGCACATGGCTGCAGCGAAGAGGGTGTTGCGCTACTTGTGCAGTACGTCGGGCATGGGGCTAGTGCTTGGAGGGCGCAGTCCAGTGGTCCTCACTGGGCACGCGGACGCTTCTTGGGCTGACGACCAGGCTACGCAGCGGTCGTCACAGGGTTACACCTTCGGCCTTGGTTCCGGCTCTGTCTCGTGGCGGGCTACTCGCTCGTCTTCTGTTCTCGGCTCCAGTTGTGAGGCTGAGATCTACGCCGGGGCTATGGCTGCTCAGGAGCTTCGCTGGCTCACCTACCTGCTGACCGACCTTGGAGAGCCGCCTCGTTCTCCTCCAGTCCTGTACGTAGACAACAAGGCCATGCTGGCCTTGTGTCGAGAGCAGCGACTGGAGCACAGGACAAAGCACATTGCTCTCCGCTACTTTCTTGCTCGTGAGCTGCAGCAGCGTGGACAGTTGCGACTTGGGTACGTGGCCTCTGAGGCCAACACTGCTGATGTCTTCACCAAGGCACTTGCGCCTTGTGATCATCAGCGTTGCTGCACGCAGCTGGGTCTTGTGCCTGTCTTGCCTCACTTGCTCACTTCTTGACCTTGCTTGTACCTTGACCTATATATACTCTTGCTCTTGCTTGCTTGACTCTTGTATATCTCTATATATGATCTTGCATGCGAACTGGCCTTGTGGCCCTTGACCTTGCGCTCGGAATGTGTGGGGCCTTTTGATCCACCCTGAGCTTTGCTTTGCTTTGCTTGACTGGTCTTGTGACCCCTTGTTCTCCCCCACTTTGCCTATGGGGGTGTGTCAGAACATTATAGCTTACTTATTTGTGTAGGCTATAGTGGGGTATCCCATAGGGGGTACAACCCAATTAGGGTTTCATATTTGTACTCACTTCATTCATAGTTCATCCTTTCTCGTTCTGTTTTCCACAATATGACCTGTTGGAGGACAGTTGGGTTGCAGAAGCTGATATGGGCAACGCACGCTACTCAATGATTATCTTGTCAAGCAGGGTGTATCTCACGCCACACAACTTTGATGGGGGGACGTGTGAGAGTACGACGGCTTTGCTAAACTTTACTTGCTTGATTATGCTTTATTACGCATTATCTAGCTTAGCTCTATTTTATATTGCATGTTTTTGCTTTTATTAGAGTTATAGGCACCGAACTAGGTTGAGTGCACCGAATTTTAGGCTTTTCGGTTGCCACCAAATTGCCTTCTACCAAATTCGGGAAGGATCCGTTCGGGATGCTTTGCGACCCGCGGAACCTGGTAGTAACACCCGTGTTACTGCCTTTGTGTCGAGCCTATACATAGTCTCGCCTTGTACCCAGGCGATCTTTCAAAATAATAATCTTTCCTGAACCAGATCCTCACAACCGCCGTGCACCTCCGCAGGACCCCGTCGCCCGGGTAACTTGGTCGACCGGGCAACCACGTCGACCAGCTGCTCCTCCTCGTGCCCCGTCGACCGCCCATGTTGACAACCACCACCTGTCGACCACACCCCTGGTCGAACAGCTCCACGTCGACCAGCCCAGCTTTTAGCCGAGCACACCAAGTCGGCTTCACCATATCGATGCCCTCCCAACGTTGAGAATACACATTTAGGACAAAATTGACTGCGGTTTGAAGGTCCATTAATCTCAACAATTTAAGGTTGTTTCAGCTTGTAGATGGAGCGCTTCTTTGTGTGATTAAACGTGATTATTCTGTAAGGTAGCATGTGACTATCCTTGATAGACTTCCAGGTATTGTTACCATCCTTTTTTTTTAATGAAAGATACACTATAAAGTGCACAATACATCGGCAATCTTAACTGCTTGTTACCATCTGTGATACATGTTTAGATTCTGTGACCGTTTGTGATGACCTAGTGACTATCCGTGACAGCAAGCCCCTGTTTGTGACCATCAATAAAATAACCCTTTTTCCCCTTGCTCTATGGATCTTCCTGAATCTGCGGCTCATCCAACCAATGCGGCCGCTCGCAGGTGTCTAGGGGCGGGTTGAATGGGCTGCTGTTCTCACTAGTGTGTTGCGAGACTGGTAACAGCGGTCGTGCATTCTCGCAGTGCGAGCGCCCTATCGCCTCTTCGCACATTGCTTGCCAAACAAACGCACCAGCTAGCTCTCCCAGGTCTGCCTTCCTCATCCTCTTGGAGCAACCACCGCTGTGGTGTCGGGGATCGTCTCGACCTAGCTTGGAGTTACCTCAGAGGGACACTTGTGTGGGTCGTGCCATCGTCTGTTTACGATCCCTCCTTTCCCGCCAAACGCGTCGCTGCGACCTAATCATGTCGCGCGCTGTCGTTCGTCACTCCAGGTACGACCGCATCTCACTCGCTCACCCGCTATCGCGCGCGTTAATTTCGCGGACCAGCCGTCGCCCGACAAAGCACGCGTACCGTTGCGTCGCGTGCAATCGCGAACCGAGCGATCTGCCTGCTTCGCCACCCGCCTTTCCCCTGCGCGCTTCATCCCCTCGCTCTATCGTCGACCGCACGCTGGCTGTAGCCGTGCGGCACGCGCGCCCTTCGGGGTTCATGTGGCACACCCGAGATGCGCCGCGCACGCGGCCGCAGTGAAAGGGATCGTCTCGAGGCCGCGGGCGAGCGACGCGAACACCGCCCAGGGAACGGGGCATTGTTGTACGAAACATGAGGGAGTCACTGGTCGATCATCGCCCACCCTCTCCCCTCCGTACCCCCCTGCTGCCATGCCATCGCCGTTCCCCGCAGGCTCCTCGCCAATGCGCTCGCGCCAGCTGCGCGAGGAGGGGGAGCGGCGGCGCCATCCATCGCAGCGGTGAGTGGATCTGCGCGCTCGCAGCTGCGCGCATGTCGCCATGCCCGCCCGCCGCGGGGTTGCTAGCGAATGCGCGCGACAGCCTCGTATGACGGCACGAGCGGGACAGCCGTGCGCGCGTGCTGCGAGGATGCATGTACCTCGCACGCTCACCCTGCCCTACAGTACCACGTTCGCAGATTCGAATGTGCCATTGCGCGTAGATTCATGACCACTGCTGTTCTGGGTTGATGCCGCTATTGCCACGTGTGCTCATCTCTATGCCACGTGGCGCATGGCCATGCGTGTCACTCATCTGCCTGACCCCCGTATGTCACCAGGTGGACGCCGCTCGTCCCATCACCACCAACGCCCCCATCACCGCCACCGCCACCGCGCCTGCCAGCGCCACTGCGCCCTCCGCCGCTGCGGGTGGGTGCTTCACCGCCGCCCCTGCCCTCGCACCCACCGCTGCTGCCGCCCCCCCCATGCACAGCGCCACCGCTCGCCGTCCATTCCACGCCGCCGCCCCCAGCATGCACAAGGTGGTGAGCCCGGCCGCCCGGCTGCTGCTGGCGGGCAGCGGGGTGGACGCGCAGGGCGTGCAGGGCAGCGGGCCGCGCGGGGTTGTCACCAAGGCGGACGCCCTCGCGGCCCTCGCTGCTGCCGCCTCCCCTGCTGCCGCTGCTGCTGGCGCTGCTGCTGCCGCCCCTGCTGCTGCTGCTAGAAGCGTTGCCACCACCACTGCTGCTTCCGTTGCCGCCCCTGCTCCTACCCCCCCGACCCCCCCAGCTGCGGCTACTGCTGCGCCCAGGGCTGTGCCTCTTCCCCCCTCCGCTCCTGCCCCCCCCCCTGCGCCTGCAGCGGCGGCAGCGCCCGCGCTGGGAGGGGCGGCAGGGGCGTTCGCGGACGTGCCCACCTCGCAGATCCGGCGGGTGAGTGCACTCACGACAGGGGGTGCACGCAGAGGGGTGCACACAGAGGGGTGCACACAGAGGGGTGCACACAGAGGGGTGCACACAGAGGGGTGCACACAGAGGGGTGCACACAGAGGGGTGCACACAGAGGGGTGCACACAGAGGGGTGCACACAGAGGGGTGCACACAGAGGGGTGCACACAGAGGGGTGCACACAGAGGGGTGCACACAGAGGGGTGCACACAGAGGGGTGCACACAGAGGGGTGCACACAGAGGGGTGCACACAGAGGGGTGCACACAGAGGGGTGCACACAGAGGGGTGCACACAGAGGGGTGCACACAGAGGGGTGCACACAGAGGGGTGCACACAGAGGGGTGCACACAGAGGGGTGCACACAGAGGGGTGCACACAGAGGGGTGCACACAGAGGGGTGCACACAGAGGGGTGCACACAGAGGGGTGCACACAGAGGGGTGCACGCAGAGGGGTGCACGCAGAGGGGGTGGACACGAGAGCGAGACAGGACGAGGGATGTGAGGCACAGGTGGTTGGTGTAAGGCGGTGGAGTTGACAGAGAGCGCGGAGCACAGCACAGCACAGCACAGCACAGCACAGCACAGCACTGTTGTGTTTCCACCTCCTCTTTGCCTCGCCACCCCCGCCCTCCCCCCTCTCCATTACCCCGGAAATTCTGCCTTTTGTCCATGCCGTCCTCATGCGCTCTTTCGCCCCTCTGCTGCCCCGCTCCCTTGTATCACATCCCGTCTTCACAACCCTCCTCCAACCTTCCCTCCAATCCCCGCCACCACCACCCTCGCCCCACCACCCCCCCCCCCTCGTCATCCCCTGGGCGGCAGATCATCGCGCAGCGGCTGATGGAGTCCAAGTGGGGGTCGCCACACCTGTACGCCGAGGCAGGTGAGGCGTGGTGAGGCGTGGTGAGGCGTGGTGGGGCATGGTGGGGCATGGTGGGGCATGGTGGGGCATGGTGGGGCTGGTGTGACCGTGACTCGTGGGGCAATGGGGCGTGCGGAGTTGCATGGAGCAGCATGGCTGCACGGTTGTGCTCTGTGCTTTGCCCCGCCTCCTTCGCTTCCATCCCCTTCTACCTCCGCCTCTGCCTCCTCTTCACCATCCCGCTCCTGCACCCACCTGCTCCGTGCCTTGCCTGCTCCATTCTTTCCTCTCCCCTCTTTTCCTCCCGCCCCTCTTCCTGTACTCTGTCAGCCCTGTGCTCTCCGTTGTTCGGTGCCTTGCGTCCTTCCACCCCCTCATCTACTCTCCATTTTACTGCCTGAGCTCCCTTCCCCCACCATCCCCCCTCCCTGTGCGTCTGCTCCGTCCCCGCCCCCACGTGCGTGTGCCCTGCATGGCCATCAGAGGCGGACATCGACGCCACGCTGCAGCTGCGCCGGGAGCTCAAAGGTTCGTCGCAGGGGGGGGGCAGGGGGCAGGGGGAATGGGGCAGGGGGAATGGGGCAGGGGGCATCTTCTCGTACATGGTGCTGCTCATGTTAGAAGAGACGTTGGTGTACATGCGTGTGAGGGTGTGGGGGGGGATGGAGGGCGCTGGAGGCAGCGCACCTGTTCCCCTCTGCCTCCACGTGGAGGGAGCATGTCACGGGGGGGCTGGCGGAATGAAGGACCAAGGGGCATGTGTGCGGGAGAGAGCCAGAGGGCATGAGGGACCGTGAATGGGCCGGTACCCAGCGGGGCTCGCCCTTCCGCTCTTGGACCCATGTGCTCCTCTCCTCCTATCTCTCCACGCCACGCCACCCAAGCCAGCAAAACGATCTGGGCCGCGCCTTATCCCAATGCCTTCTCTACCCCCCCACTCCCATCCCATGCGTGCCCTCTGCCTCGCCCCTGCGACCCTCCCCCCCTTGACAGACAAGTGGGGCGTGGCGGTGTCGGTGAACGACTTTGTCATCAAGGCCGTCGCCATGGCGCTCGCCCACACACCCCACGCCAATGGTGAGCCGCTGCCGCTCCCCTGCTGCTTATCCACCCATGCTGTCCCACGTTTCTCACATGCTCCCCGCTCCACACCACTTGCTCCGCCCACCACTTGTGCTCACACCATCCAAGCCCCTCCCTTCACCCCTCCCTCTCCTCACCCCTCCCTCCCCTCGCCCCTCCCTCCCTTCGCCCCTCCCTCCCCTCGCCCCTCCCTCCCCTCGCCCCTCCCTCCCCTCGCCCCTCCCTCCCCCCGCCCCTCCCTCCCCTCACCCCTCCCTCCCCCCGCCCCTCCCTCCCGCCACCCTCCCTCCCCTCGTCGTGCCCCCTCTCGCCCCTGCTACACGGCGTGAACCCTCCCCCCTCCCCTTTCTTCTCCCCGGCAGTGCACTGGGACGGCAAGGCGGGGCGAGTGGTGAGCAACAGCAGTGTCGACATCTCCATCGCCGTCGCCACTGACAAGGTGGGGGGGGAGGGGAGGGGAGGGAAAGGGCGTGGGGGGAGGGCATGGGGGATGGCATGGGGGTGGGGCATGTTGTGGGAAGGAATGGTGCATGGGTGACGTACCTCGCGGGGTGAGGCCCAGTGGGCTTGTTGCTTCATTGCCTTGGCAGCCTTGCCTGCTCCACCCATGAGGCGGATTGCTGTAAATACTCTATCTGACTGTGTGCATGTGGATCGTGTGTGTGCGGGAGTGTGCCTATGTGATTGCATCATATGACCTCTTGGGGGTGCATGTGTGTGGGTGCATGCGTGTGGGTGCATGCGTGTGGGTGCATGTGTGTGGGTGCATGTGTGTGGGTGCATGTGTGTGGGTGCATGCGTGTGGGTGCATGTGTGTGGGTGCATGTGTGTGGGACTGCATCGGGGCGGCAGGGACTCATCACGCCCATTCTAAAAGATGCGGACAAGAAGTCGCTCGGAGCTATCTCCAAGGAGGTGAGCCGCCTCTGCCCTGCTCTTCCTGCGCTGCTCGTCCCATCCCGCCTCAACCCTTTTCTCACCGACCTCAGTCGCATCATGTCCACCACAGCCACCTACCTCGTCACTCTCCACCACAGCCACCTACCTCGTCACTCTCCACCACAGCCCCCTACCTCGTCACTCTCCACCACATTCCAGATCATTCTGTGGGTCGCTAAACACTCTCTTGACTTGCGCGAAGCTTCTTATGTGAGTGAGCAGCACACAGCGCGTGTGTGTCATGTGGTTTACCTGGGGAGCAGCACTGGTGGGCCGTGGCATGCAATGCAAGGCACTGCAATGCCATGGCAAGGCCGTCACAGGGCAGCAGCCATGGAGCTCACCGCACTGCACCCCACTGCTTCCTCTCCCTCTCGCACCCTCCCGCCTCATCGCTGCCCTGCTGCTCTCTTACTTCCTTCTCCTTCGCATGTCATGTCTTTGCCCATGCTTCATCGCCCCAACCCATTCTTTCCATCCCGTTGTCCCCTGTGCCCTGTTTCCCTGTCCCCTGTGCCCTGTGCCCTGTGCCCTGTGCCCTGTGCCCTGTGCCCTGTGCCCTGTGCCCTGTGCCCTGTGCCCTGTGCCCTGTGCCCTGTGCCCTGTGCCCTGTGCCCTGTGCCCTGTGCCCTGTGCCCTGTGCCCTGTGCCCTGTGCCCTGTGCCCTGTGCCCTGTGCTCTGCGCCCTATGTCTCATGCCGCACATGCCATGCACCACCCCGCGGTCACCGCGGCCAGGTGAAGCAGCTGGTGGAGAGGGCCAGGGCGGGCAAGCTACAGCCGCATGAATTCCAGGGCGGCACCTTCAGGTGCGCTCAGGTGACCTTCAGGTGGGTTCAGGCTTCTGGTGGGCTTAGGTCAGGTTCCTTCAGGTGTGCTCAGGTGTCTTCTGTGAGTTCAGGTGCCTTCAGATGCATTCGTCTTCCGTTCAGGGAGACATGAAAAGAAAGTGTGTAGATTGGATGCTGCGATGAGTTCAGGTGACTTCAGGTGAGTTCAGGTGAGCTCAGGCGAGTTCAGGTGATCTCAGGTGAGTTCAGGTGATCTCAGGTGAGTTCAGGTGAGCTTAGGTGAGTTCAAGTGGGCGGTGTTGTGTGGTCGTTGCTTCCTGAGCGGTGCAAGAACCCCCTCACCCTCTTCATCCCCATCCCACGTTGCCACTCATTTATCCCACATTGCTGCCCTTCCATCCGCATGGTTCAACCCTCCCCGCACGCACACATCTTTTGACCGCGCCCAGCGAAGCATGGCATGGCGCAGCCGCAGCACTCTCACTCACGCGTGCCAATCAGTGATCGCCTGCTCACCATCTTGCATGCCAGGGCCATGAAATCATTCCCATCTCCAACCCCCCCACCACCTGCTGCCACCTGCTCGCACGTGCTCTTCCCCCCCATGCACCCACCCCCCTGTGCGAGCAGCATATCGAATCTGGGCATGTATGCGGTGGACCGCTTCTCCGCCATCATCAACCCGCCTCAGGTGGCGCCTGCCGCCTGCTGCTGTGTTGCTGCTGTGTTGCTGCTGTGTTGCTGGGGTGCTGCTGGGGTGCTGCTGGGATGGGGCATGGGCAAGTGGCATGGGATGAGTGTCGCTTCCAATGGGGTTTGCAGATGCTGGCAGGCCTGAGGTCGTCAAGCAATCATTCACTCATTGCATCGCCAGCACTCATTCCCAACCCCGTCTCCCTTCCCGCCCTCCATCACCTCTTCCCTCACCGTCCGTCTCTTTTTCCCTGTGCTTCCCCCCGCCCGTGCCCCCCTCTCCCCCCTGCGTGTGCACGGCATGGCATGGCTGGCATGGCAGTCGGGCATTCTAGCGGTGGGCCGCGCCGACAAGGTGCTGCGCCTGCCCGCTGAGACCTCTGCAGGTCACGTGCCCTTCCAGGGTCCAGGAACCAGGGGGAGAGGGGCGAGGGGCGGGACGGAGAGTTATGGGGATAGATTGGTAGTGGGTGGGGGCGAACTGGTTGCCGGTGGGGATGGGTTGCTTGTTAGTGGGATCGGATTGGTTTCGGTTCGGAATGCGGTGTTGATGGGTGAGAATGCGATGTTGATGGGTGGGAATGCGGTGTTGATGGGTGGGAATGCGATGTTGATGGGTGGGAATGCGATGTTGATGGGTGGGAATGCGGTGTTGATGGATGGGAATGCGATGTTGATGGGTGGGAACCGATGTTGATAGGTGGGAATGCGGTGTTCATGGGTGGCAATGCGATGTTGATGGGTGGGAATGCGATGTTGATGGGTGGGAATACGGTGTTGATGGATGGGAATGCGATGTTGATGGGTGGGAATGTGATGTTGATGGGTGGGAATGCGATGTTGATGGGTGGGAATGCGATGTTGATGTGTGGGAATGCAATGTTGATGGGTGGGAATGCGGTGTTGATGGGTGGGAATGCGATGTTGATGGGTGGGAATGCGATGTTGATGGGTGGGAATGCGGTGTTGATGGATGGGAATGCGATGTTGATGGGTGGGAATGTGATGTTGATGGGTGGGAATGCGATGTTGATGGGTGGGAATGCGATGTTGATGTGTGGGAATGCAATGTTGATGGGTGGGAATGCGGTGTTGATGGGTGGGAATGCGATGTTGATGGGTGGGAATGCGATGTTGATGGGTGGGAATGCGGTGTTGATGGGTGGGAATGCGGTGTTGATGGGTGGGAATGCGGTGTTGATGGCGGGACAGAGGTGGATGTGAGAGTACTTGCGCCATCATCCCACCCCTCCTGCCTGAATCTCCTCTTTGTCCCTTTCTTCCCCCCTCTGTGTCTTCCCATCGCCTTTTGTATCCGCCTATCTCCCACTGTGTCTCCACCTTGGCACGACTACAGCAGGCGCACAGCTGCACGTGGCCGGCAAGATGGAGGTCACACTCTCTGCGGATGCGCGTGCTCTCGATGGCACCACGGCAGGTGAGGCAAGGGAGAGGGCAACGACAGGCGCATTCAAGCAGCCAGTGTTGTGTCAGCAGGTGGCACAAGGGGCACGAGATGTGTCACATGGTGTACTCCAGGGCATGCCGTGTTACGCTGTCTGATCCACACTTTTCTTGCTGCTCTATTGCATTCGACCCCTTGGCTTTCTTTTCACTTGCAATCTGCAGGCAAACTACTTTCTGCGATTTCAGCAAACCTCTCAGACCCTCGCCGCCTTCTCATTTAGATTACCGTATTCTCCCGGACAAAACACCCCCCCGTAATAGTACACCCCCGGGTAGCTTGTGCGGCGGGGGTGCTATAGCCGACCTCGTTTGTACTATACCCCCCCTTTTTGGGTGATTTTCTATAACACCCCCCTATTCTTACAGATTCATATAATAGCTGTTATCGAGTCAGATTCCTTACGGGATAATATCGCGAGGATGCTTCCTAGATGAAATTTCGCGTGTATTTTCACTTAGAATCTGCCAACATTCCCCCCCCTCCCACAATCTCGCTGTCACCACGCTGGCAAATCTTTCGCTGCAAGCGGACATTTCCCCCCTCCCACAATCTCGCTGTCGCCACGCTGGCGAATCCCCCGCTGCAAGTGGCCCGAGAGGTGAAACTCACATTCTCGCCGGAACTCATATTCTCGCCTCAAACTGTGATGTTAAAACGACCATTGAAACACCCAAATTGCCTAATTAAAAAATACTCTTACACTAAAATATGACATTGTGAAAGTCTACTTAGGCTGACTTGCAAAGGCAGCGTTATCATTTCATATGGGTTCTAGTAGGTACATCGTTCTCGTCGTATACAAGTCTACATAACAGCATACACAATTGGTTGGGTGGGTGGGAAATTAGTACAAATTGAGAAATGAAAACGTGGGTGGGGACGAATGTCCCCACATCCCTCTTTTGTAGGCAAACGAGGGCGAGTAGCGCTTTGGCGCTACCTTTGCTGTGTTGGCCACGTACCCCTTTTCACAATACAGAATTTTAGAAAGTGTTACATTTCATTACACTTTCAAAAACTATCATATTGTGAAAGTCTACTTAGGCTGACTTGCAAAGGCAGCGTTATCATTTCATATGGGTCTTCTAAGGCAAGTGCAGACGGGGCTGGCGGTGCCGTTCGATTGATAGCTGGTGCGTGGCGGGTGAAGGAGACGCCGAAGGATCCTGCAACTGCGTGGAGAGGGAGATTAGCTGATCCTGCGCGATTGTACGGTAACGTACATCTCCTTCGCGCCGTCGCTGCGCCATCGGCCCATGCGTTTGAAGAGCCAGTCAGGAACTCCGAGGCTTGCCGCCGCAGTGGCTGCGCCTTTGCGGAACGAGTCGGTTCCGATGTGCGCGACATCCAGTCCAGCCTGCCTGCCGGCCGCGAGACACCAGTTTTTGATCGTGACGTAGGACGGCGATTTGCCGTCCGGCGTGGCTTGCGAGTTCTTTGGAAAAACCCTTATTAGCGGTCCATGGGGCACCTCTGTGAGGCCTGCGATACGTATGAATTTGCGTGTGCACCGCACTGGGCAGTATGGGCCCGAAATTGCTGCCACTGGGATCCAGACACCCCTCCCTTCCTGGTCCGTCTTGGAGTGCGGGATGAGCAGCCACATTGCCTTCTCCTCGAACTGTACATCATTCCACTGGAGCGATACGAGGTCAGAGTAGCGCAAGAACGCCGAAAACATGAGAAGAGGAATCAATCCTTTCTGGTATTCCGAAGGAATCGATGATTCGAGGAAGGGACGGGCCATGTCGTGCACTTGATGGAGAGATATTGGTTCTTTGGTCCTGGCAGGCCGATGACCATGTCTTTTGGCGAACTCTCGCACTTGCAGGGTGAATGGTCCGATCGTGGGGGAGGCTTCGCCTGTCATGCGGTGGGCGAAGGCCACTGCCGAACATGTGAGGTTTATCGCGGAGAGAGTTGCCTTGTTGTTGAGCGCATGGATGAGATACAATGCTAGCGTCAGGTCGGTTGCCGGTAGGAAGTCAAGCTTGACTTCGGTACAGAAGGTGCAAAATCTCTGCCAATAAGGTTGGTACGTCTCGATTGTAGATGGTGCGCGAACGTGACTAATTACGTGCATAAGTTGTTTTTGTAGTTTGCCCAACAGTCCTGAAATGACACATTAATGGATTGTATTAGATTGCATAGTTTACACGCAAAGCAATGATTGGGCTATGAGGCAATCCGAGACCAGAAAATGGAGTGGTGTGTGAACCTGCCCGAAGGCATTGACCGCCTTGGGCAATGGCAAGGTGTGCCACTACAGCTGGGGCCCACGCTTGGGTGGACGGTTGGAGAAGCGGCCACCATGACGCCCCGGTCCACTGGGGAACGACCAGCGTGAGTTCCGCGTGCGTGAGTTCGGCATGGCAAAGTGTAGCGGGGACTAGGTGTGGCGGCGGGAAGGCAAAGCATCTCTCGCCTTTCCAAGAAATGGAAAATGCATCGGCAGCGAACGCGTCGGGATGCGGTATCTTGGAGCAGAAGCGCTGAACTTGTTTGTTCCGGGCGTTGGCAAATAGATCAATTGTGTGGGGCCTCCAACGACGGTCTAGAAGGCGAAACCAGGGCGCGTGTAGGGAGTAGTCGTTATGATCTTGCAGCTTGGATAGGTCATCTGCCTGGACGTTGAGCTCTCTCGGAATCCATTCAATCGCGAGGCGTGTGGTGTTGCCGAGGCAGAACTGGATGATCGCTTGGCATGTCAGCGTAAGGTCCGCCTGACGGGATCCCCCTTTGCGCAAGATGAACATAACTGCCTGGTTGTTGACCCGGACGAGGACGTGAGCACCTGCAACTTGGGTTGCGAACGTCTGCAGTGCCCAGAGCACTCCCTCGAGCTCTCGTCGCGTGCTAGATGTGCGGAGGAGCTCGCGTGGCATGCGTGCGCTTGCTTCGCATGATGCACTGGGGAACTTGGCCAAGGTGGCACCCCAGCTGTGTGCGCTTGCGTCGACGTGGATCACGGCATCAAACCGTTGACTCTGGTGGAATGGGGCACCATTGAAACGATCGAAGTGGACTGTCCAAAACAATAGCTCCTCCGTCGCTACTTGTGACAATTTGACCCTCGCGTTCCATGACCGCGCGGAGTCGATCAAGTGCAGCAGCTCATGGGTGAAGGCACGCGCCGTCGTGCCTAGTGCGAGCGACATGGAGCTTAGAAATCCGGTGATTCGGGCTATCTTGCGAATCGGCACTTGTCGACCCGATTGCCCTTTTTTAACGAGTAGGTGGAGCTCCTGCAGTAGTTGCGCACGCCGATCTTCTCCGATGAGGAACATCCCTCGTTCCGTGTCGAGCTCCATCCCCAGGAAGCGCAAGTGGTGTGTAGGATGCAGGTTTTACTTCTTAGCATTTATCACGAATCCCGCCGCCTTCAGGTCTTTGAGAACTTCGATGCACGTCGAACGGGCTTGCGTCTCGGAATGGCACAGGAAGAGTAAATCGTCCACGTACGGAATTACGCGCACTCCGCGCGCGCGCCATTTCTTGGCCAGTTGCTTGATTAGCTGGGTGAAGACAAACGGGGCTGTTGCCAATCCGAAAGGTAAAGATGTGAAGCAATAGAACTTGCCATCCAGTTGAAAGCCCAAATACCTCTAGCAGGATGAGTGGATTTCAACGTGGTGGTAGCCTGACTTCAGATCGATGGTGAACATCTAGTCGTTTGGGCGAATGATCTCCGCGACCCGACCCAAGCCCTCGTACTTGAACTTAGGAACTTGGAGGTGAGCGTTGACCTTGCGTAGGTCAAGAATGAGACGGCATTTGTCTATTTGCTCGACAACATTGAGCGGGCTAATGCATGTCAGTGCTGCCTTCGACGAGACCTGTACCGCGGCTCCTGACGCGATGAGGTCGCTGACGGCTCCTTGGGTGAAAGCCATGTGTGCTTGAACCCCTGCGTGATTCAGGGCTTCGAAAAGGGTTGGCTCCTCGCCCTTCCATGGTAGCCAGTACCCTTTAGCAAGGATGGAAATGATGAAACTGCTGTCACACCATGATAGCCACCAGTGGAGGCTGTTGCGCAATCGCCTTCGCATGATGGACACCATGTTGTCCGTTATTGCATGCTCGTATGGGTCCCAATGAGCGTCGTGCCACTCGCCTTCTGCAAACGGCGGGCAACCGAGGTTGTAGGGAGGAACAAGAATCAAGGTCGATTAGACGCGATAGATGGCAAACACTTTGACGACTTGTCGGCCATGACGCCCTTGCATGGTTTTTTTTTTTATTTTTTTTTTTATTTTTTTTTTTACTATGAAGTCGCTTTATGGTGAGATCGATGTGTTCGCATCCCTAGGTCCCACGACCTTGTTTATCATGATGCCGTCATTGGCCTCCTTCTCTCTCCCTCTCGCTCTCTCTTTCCTTCTCTCTCTCTCTCTCTCTCTCTCTCTCTCTCTCTCTCTCTCTCTCTCTCTCTCTCTCTCTCTCTCTCTCTCTCTCCCTCTATCCCTCTCTCACCCTCTCTTTCTCTCTCTCTCCTACTCTCTTCCTACTCTCTCTCCTTGTCTCTCTCTCTCTCTTTCTCTTTCTCTCTCTCTCTCTCTCTCTCTCTCTCTCCCTCTCTCTCTCTCTCTCTCTCTCTCTCTCTCTCTCTCTCTCTCTCTCTCTCTCTCTCTCTCTCTCTCTCTCTCTCTCTCTAATGGTCCTTGTATTGATGTGGCAGCCAGGTACAAGCATGCAAGGTATAGAAGCATACACACAACAGCAAGTCCTACCCTATACCCCCCCTAGAGATCTAGGA